ATAACCAGGGAAGCGGGAGCCTCTTAGGGCTGTGGGTGCCCTCCTGCACCCAGACCTGCCCTCGTACCATGGGGAAAACGCTCACAGATTGCTGTTTTCATCTTTCCAGCTTAAAAAAAAAAAAAAAAAAGGCAGTTCTTTCCAGTGGCTGATTAATGGTCCCTCTGCTCAAACTGCATTTTGCGCATATTTAAAAATCTTGGGCCAGATAACACTTTGACCTAAAATAGAATAGGTTCTTTTTGATTTATTTTTTTTTTCTGGTGGTGCCTGACATTTGTAAGTTTTAATACATTATTTTTGAAAGGAATCTTTTCCAACCTGCCGGACGAAGGTGGCTGTGGCTCTGTGTGGGTGCACCCCCTGCACGCCTGTGGGTGCTCTCAGCCCATGGCTAGAGCAGCCCTGGGACACACAGACACATCCCAGACCACCAGGAGAGACGTCCCTGGCACCGAGAGGACCTCCTGGGCTGTGGGATATGCCCAGCACGGCTCCTCTTCCCCTGGGGGAAATCAGTGCCATCCCCTGCCCCCGAACCCCTCCCCAAATTTCCTCTCCCAAATCTCCTCTTCCCCAAGCTCCCCGTGTGTGCAATCTGAGCCACAGTTACATTAAGCCTGATGCTCAAAGGACCAGAAATGGTGGCTCCTGTGGGCACATGGCACCCACACCACCAAAAGGGTGAAAACTTCAGGGAGCAAGTGGCACTGCAACATGTCACACCTACCCGGAATAGAGATATCCCTGGACACACTCCATAACCACACCCATTTCTCCATAGGGTTGATATATATCTATACATAGCAGTCTCAAAATGCCAGTGAGTTTTTATTAGCCCCATTTGCAGATGGGGTAACGATGACAAAGTGCTGTGACCCCTCCGGGCTGCTCTTTGCCAGGAGGGGGGAGTCTGGGAAAGGTAAAGGGGGGGGGAGCTGAGCTTTCCCAAAGCCCCAGCAGCTCCTGGGTGCCAGAGTCTCGCTCAGCTCCCGCTTTGAATCAGGCTGGCAAATAAACATGAAAGTGAAAACGGTATTGTGAGATGGTTATGCAAGAGCGGGCGGATCCCCGGGACCCAGCCATTGTTCCAAACGTTTAATTAACATTATGAAAGCTGATTAAAGGAAAATCTTTAACCTCCAGGGAAATCCCATTTTCCCTCACTTCCTATACCTCTGCAATTTTCACAATGTAAGAAGGAAAAGTGTTATTTCAAGGCATGATTCATATCAGCTACAACCTGATCTTTGCCACAGCCGCGTCCTGCCGCTTAAATAATCCCCAGCAGTGACACCAGACGGGGACACTTCTGAGGCAGCACTTTTTTTTCCCCCGTTATACCATGACCTGAATTGCCACCATCATTTCTAGGCTTTGTGTCACCCTGGCACCATGACAAGCGCTCACCCACGCTCCAGAGGGAGAAGTCAGTCCACGAGGACGGCGGCACCTTCCCAGGCACAGCATCCCGGAGACAACGTGTGAATGAGGCGCCGCAGCCCGGCCCGGTGACCGCAGGGGACATCAGCTCTGGTCACCACTGCCAGTTCCTGGCAAGGCAGGAGACTGATGCTCCATCTCCCCATCCAACCCTGAGCAAATCACCCTTTTCTCTTCTCAGAGCTGGGGGAAAAGACAGCATTACCTCTCTGGGGAGGTCACTGTGAACATGAATGGGATGATGGAGATGAACTGGAGATGCTGAGGTGGAAAGTCCTGCTGCCAAGTTACGTTAGATTGGAGAGATTGCTGCAGTGGTTTGGGATCAAGCACAGCCCCCCCCAGTATTCAGCTGGGTAGGGGTTACATATTGCCTCTCTGCTGTCCAAGACCTATTTTAATGATAGGGCATGGCCAGCCCGTCACAGACCTAATCCCAGGATCTAATCCTGGAGGCAGGGGACAGCTGGCTGCGCTGCTCACTCGGGGTTCTTTTTAGCCCCTGGGGCTGTGTGGCTCCAGGAAAGATGGAAAGGGACTTTTTACAAGGGTATGTAGTGATAGGGCATGGGGTAATGGTTTCAACCTGGAAGAGGGGAGATTTAGGTTGGATATCAGCAAGAAACTTTTCACTCTGAGGGTGGTGAGAGCCTGGCCCAGGTTGGCCAGAGAAGCTGTGGCTGCCCCATCCCTGGAGGGGTTCAAGGGCAGGTTGGAGGGGGCTTGGAGCAACCTGGGCTGGTGGGAGGTGTCCCTGCCCAGGGCAGGGGGTGGCACTGGGGGGGCTTTAAGGTCCCTTCCAACCCAAACCATTCTATGACTCTCTGATTCTATGATTCCATGATTCTCTAGAATTCTCTGGCAGCAAAGCCCAGGGGACACCAGGGCCCTCCCCACCACGCCTGGCCACAGCCATGGGACATGGGTGGCATCAGACATACCCCACGGCCCTGGGTTCTCCCCTGGTTAACGAGGGACAGGGTGGAGGAGGCATCTGCAGACACCTCGCTCTAACTCTTGAGAATACATAGGGCTTCAGTCCTTCCCCAGCACCAGGCCTATATAAATACCTACACATCTCAATACCTACACATGTAAATACACACATATCTAAATACATGATATAAAACCAGCCCCTGGCAGCAATAACCATCTCACGTGCAGATCTTCAGTGGTTCTTCCCATCTGCAGATCTTGCAGGACACAGACAGGGCAGAACTTCAGGGACCTTTCTGCAAAGGGGAAGGACCATCTTTTCCTGCCGTTGTCTGCCTTCATCTGCTGCAAAACCCATTTTAATTATGATATAACAGGATCCTCCTCACTGCTCTGACTGTGAAGAACAGGCGCCGCTTCTGCACATGCAGAGACATCAATAAAGTAGAAGCTTTATTTACACAACGAAATTCCTCCTTCAAAAAGCGCTAGAGATAAACCAAAGGAATATTAATGCAACATCGTGAATACCAAATGCATGAAATTCTGACTCAATAAGAGGCGGACAGCTGGCTATTCTGATAAAAATGGCCCTTTATTTTTTAATTCTTCCTTTCACTACCTGGGTGCTGTGTTTGCCAAAGCAAGAAAATATAGTTTCTTTCATACGTGGCAAATCTGAACACAATCCTGCAAGTAGCCCCGCACAAAAACTCCCACCACAAAAAAAAAAAAAAAAAAAAAAAAAAAAAAA